GACACACAATTACATATATCAAGCAAACCAGATGATAAAATTTAACTTGCAAGATTGAGGACTGTATAAAAGACATAAAAAACTGGATGTCGAGTAACTTTCTCCTACTTAACTCAGATAAAACAGAACTTCTGCTTCTTGGTCCAAAGCTGCTAGAAACAAACTGTCTAATTTAACACTTAAACTTAATAGTTTCTCAGTTGTGTCAGGTTCATCTGTAAAAAATCTTGGTGTCACAATAGATCCCGATCTGTTCTTTGATGCACATATAACGAATATTACTAGAATAGCCTTCCTGCTTTTCCACAATATTGCTAAATTAAGAAATGCATTGTCGTTACAGTGTCTGCTGCTGTATAAACTCAAACTATCTAATTAACCATTGCTCCAACTGTTTTTCCCCGTTTGTATTCTAATATTTTATTCTAACACTGTTTGCTATCCAGTGTCGACCAGAGGAGGATGGGTTCCACTTTTGAGTCTTGGTTCTAGGTTTCTTCCTCTTGCTCTAAGGGAGTTTTTCCCTGCCACTGGGGGCTTGGACCCGGATTTTTCTGTAAAGCTGCTTTGAGACAACACCTATTGTAAAAAGCGTTATATAAATAAACTTTGACTTGACTTGGCTTGAGTTGCAAGGGCTAAAAGGGAGAGAGAGACTGAATCCATTAGTGCTGAAGCAGAACAACCCAGGGCAAATGGAAATTGGTGGTGTCAACAACAAACTACTTGCTTCCTGGTACAATTCAGTTCACAACCATTCTGAACAGTTAACCAGCAAGGTGCAACTGTTTATCACAGCTCCTTCAATGAATACTCACATAAGCTTATGTTTCAAAGCTTCCCACAGCAGAAACATCTCCCCAGCTCTCTCTCCCTCACTCTGTTATTCTGATACGGTCATATTGTGATCTCCTGCATCTATTTCAAAGTCACTTTCTGAGACATCACATCAGCTTAAAGTCTTCACCATGGCCCTCTAAGTTCATTGTGTCCAGGTTTTTTCCCCCTCTTTTTTGTCATGATGATCAGCATATCTACTTTTCTGATTTGTGGCTTAACACTGAACACAGGGAGCCAGATAGCCAATTAGTTGGGCATGTGATGTTTTACACAGCATATGTATATTTGTTTGTTTTTGACTGGTCAAACTGATCAGGACATTCACAAGCCTTTTGTATTTAAGTTATATGCTCCACTATAAACTTAGAACACCGTTACTGATAATGTAGGTTATATTAAAAATTGCAGTTCTTGTGATTTAAAGATTGCACTCTTTTAACTAGTGATCTTGATATACAAATGAATATCTTTCAGCCCTATTACATGTTCAAATTTAGCAAAGATTTTGGAAGTGTAGCACTTGCTGTATGCTGCATTGTCTAAAATTTTAAAAATTGTTAAATGTTGAGCAGAGACTTTGGTTTTGGAAGTACTGTAGACACTTGTGTGCTAAAATATTGTTTTGAAAAGTATTGTATTTACAGTACTGATTATTGCACTTTGTCAGGTTCAGTGCATGTGTTCACTTTTACCAGCAGGTCCAATTCACTGTACTGACATCTTCAAGATATACACTATAATAGCATTTTGGCTTAACACAGGCATTAATGTGATTTGAACATTCGTGTTTTGTGTTGTAGTAACAGAAGATGGAACCACTGTCCACAAAGAAAGAAAGGTATCCGAATACTGAAAATGAAAAAAGGTGTCCAAATGCTGTGGCACAGTGCAACGCTGACGCTCCATCAGTTTTCTCTTGTCGTCTTGAGGTGGGTTTGCTTGCTTTGTTTAGTTAAAAACAGCTGCTTTAAATTACTGCATAGATAATGTGGCTAAAACAATAATTTACTAAAGTAAAGGGGTTAGCAAAGGTTGCATACAGTGATTAGAAGGCTGAGGAAAATGGGGCAGGTCTTGAGATGGGTCTGATTGGCTCAGTCCTTGATGTTGGCAGGGTTTTCACATCCCTGTCCTGTAGTAGGGCACACAGCTTGTATCGCATACTGGGTATTGTACAGTATGTTACTATGCAGAGTAGCATGCAGTATACAGTAGGGGTGGGGGGAAAAATTGATTCTTAGATGCATTGCGATGTGGACGTGGACAACTCTGAATCAATTCACAAATGTCAAAAAATGATTTTCTAAATTTTAATTGATAACGTAATGTTAACGGAACACAAAAGGTGGAACTTTGCAAAGTGCGGAAATGCAGCGTCCGGACAGTCTGTGGCGTGCACACTACACTGAAAGCTAGTGCAGGGGTCGGCAACTCTAATGTTAATAAGAGTCATTTTGTCTTTTTAACAAAAATCAAATCACCTTGGGAGCCACAACATTTTGAGTCCATTTTACCATCTTGGCTGTACATATGTCTCAGTACGTGCTAATGTCCTAGTGTATCTAAAAATGTAAACTGCTTTTCTTGCATCACCAGCTGGAAACTTTTTCACAAAAGTAAAAGAGTTTCTTGTAAAATGTCTCTCAATGTTCTACTTGTTACGAGGCTAAAGTCTGCTTCTTGTTCTCCAGCTTCTCGTTCAAATTTTCTCATTCCACCTTAAATGGTACCTGAGGTGCCAGAATGTAACTGCTGCACCATTTAATGTAAAAAGGGAAAATTCAAACAAAAAGCTGGAGAACAAGAAAATGATTTCAGTTTCAAGTGTTTTTTTTTTTAGCGTTTGACAGTTTCTCGTTACAGACTAAATGTATCAGGAAACCAGCTGAGTGATTATAAATGCAAATAAGTGTATTCGTCTCCAAATTAACGATGTTCTACAATGGATTCTACAATGGCACCAAAACTGAAGTTTCACTGAATCACTGAAGAAAACGGGTAGGACAGCTGTAATCTGCTGCGTGGACACCCATTGCCACAGGACCTTATTTCACCGTAACTGCGCATTTTATCACAGATGAGCGGCAGCCTGCATCTCATGTGCTCCAAACAAGAGCAGTGAATGAGACCCTTCCAGTTGACTTGCCACATGACTTCCATTTGATTTATTAATAAAAGATATTGGAAGTAAATTCATTATGGATCAGAACAAATACTGTACTGTAAACGTTCCAAGTTGTCACAGTGAGAAAAAAGAAATCCTGTATAGAAAAAAAATGCATCAAGATGCATCGATAATCATTTTATAATCGCATCACAGCCCTCCAAATCGTAATCGAATTGTGAGGTGCCTAGAGATTCCCTAGTATACAGTATATACTGGTCCAGTATGCAGTATACAGTACACAGTATGTTATTTCAAACACAGACAATGTTCACATAAAGCATTGAAACAGGGGAAAACATGATCTGTGTGACTTTGACTAATGACGTTGTTGGTGTCAGACAAGGTGGTTTTAGTATTTCAGAAACTTTCAGATCTTTTGGAATTTTCACAGTCCTTTCTGTAAGAAAATTAATTATACGGACAAATCAATAACTTTATTCTTCACCACATGAAATTTTAGCTTTTCCTTTTAAAATACAACTATACAAAAAACTATTTTATGTTTGTTATTTTATGTTAACTACCCCCCACATTATAAGTTCAATTCATCACTAGTTTTTATTATTGTCTCTTCATTATGCAACTGTGCCATTGTGTCTCCAATTTCACAATATATTGTGATACCCCAGCTCCTATATATATATATACATATGCATACATGTTGGCGTGGAGGGGTATGGTACCCTGCGATAGACTGGCATCCCAATGACCGCTGGGATAGGCTCCAGCACCCCCTGCCACCCAGAAGGATAATTCAGAGGATTTGAATTTGTTAATCAATCCTGGACATAGTTGGGCATTATCCATTGCTTCTTTATGGACATAAGAGAAAGTGATTGTACTCTACAAGCAGTTCATCTTGATTTTCAGCACACATTTAGCTTCAGATTGCACAACTTTTACCAGAAACGGCAAAACATGGCTTGCAAGGCAGAATCTTTCACTAAATTGAAATCTAATTTTGTTGTTTAATTAAATATATATGGCATACTGGCACACGCACAGCCAAACACAGCATACACTGAGAAAATATGAGAATTTAAATAGGTTTTTTATGTTTACATAGGATATATAGGACATAGGATTTTATGTTACGATTTGATGAGGTTACATTTTCGAAAATTAATATTGACATTTCTGTAGAATTGTTAGCCTATAACACGGACCTAAATGCTGCTAAAATGCTACAGAAAAAAATAAATTCATTTGGATGTTTGAATCGGTTCAACCAATTCATTGAAAAGAACCGGTTCAAAAGAATGATTCGTTCACGAATCGGACCTCACGGCTGGGCTGCAGACAACGCCTGTTTGTGCGAAATGCACCTGCGTTTCATAAAGCGGGCAAGGGAAGACTGTTCTTCTAATTTCAGTTGAAACAGAGGATATCATTTTAGGCCGAGACAACGGTGCCGTCGTTCCCGCTTCGCCTCCATTTGTTCGTCTTTGTATTATCTTCACAGAGGAGGCTGCCGACAGCACGGCGTGAAGATGATTTTCATGGCAGACAGATGGCTACATTTGATCCTGAGGTAGACATTTGGACACGTCCTCATGTGTCGATATTGCAGAGGAAAAGACGCGTCTGACATCTTTTCGGTTCAACCATAAGAAAGAAAAGCAGCGTAGTTGCTTGACGTTGTAGTTGTTGACGTGATTTTAATTTCAGGAGAGACAGATGAAGAGCGGCGTGGGGGAAAAAATTAAATGCCATTAAGGAAATAGATTTTCAAAAAACATTAAGGGTCTATTTCCTCTTACCAGGCGAAATACAGGCAATCAAGAGAGGCCAGGCCACTGTAGCGCTTTACAATGTGAGGATGGGAGGAAAGGTGAGCACTAGGATTCTAACAGCGGAGAGATGCTGAACTGCAGGTTGCAGGAGCACTGCTAACCTAAGGCTGTAATATTTAATTACTATCTTAAAACGTAACTCAACACGCTAAAGCAAGGCTCAAGATCTCGCACTCTACAAGTTTATTTTTTTGCAGAGCATGGTACCTGGAGCTCCGGCAGCAATGCTCCCTGCCTCTGAAGCAGCTAAAATCTACCAGACTAACTACATCAGGAACTCTCGTGCTATTGGAGTCCTGTGGGCCATTTTCACAATCTTGTTTGCTATTGTGAACGTTGTGTGCTTTATTCAGCCGTACTGGATAGGTGACGGTATCGATACCCCCCAGGCCGGTTACTTTGGCCTTTTCCATTATTGCATTGGAAATGGATTGTCCCGGGATCTGACCTGTAAAGGTAGTTTCACTGAGTTTGGCTCTATTCCTTCGGGTGCTTTCAAGGCCGCATCCTTTTTTGTCGGAACGTCCATGGTTCTTGTGCTGTCCTGTATTGGCTGTTTTGCACTATTCTTCTTCTGTAGCACTCTCACCGTTTACAAAATTTGCGGCTGGATGCAGCTTGGCTCTGGTAAGTGTTTTGACATTATTAATGCTATCAGTCATTTGTATACAAATCAGCCATTCTTTTTAGATTGTTGGTATGAGTATCACATGTCTAAAAAACATCAAATCCCACTGTTACTGACTCATGTGCATGTTGAATTTTTTACATGTGCAAGTACATTTCTGGACAGGATTTTTGTTGCATTTCACCTCTTTGACCTTTCTGGCTCTTCAATGCAAAAAACTAAGCTTGTTTAACCACAAGTTTTCCATACCATTTCCTCACTACAAGTCACTTGCAGATACATGAAGACCCAACTGTGAATTTGAAAATGTGCTTGCAATTGTTACTAATAGAAGTAAGAAAATGTGTTGCTATTGAGTTTTTTTTTCTGCCCAACATGCATATTTTTAATGACTTTCCTCATTGTAAATAAACTGATAAATACATACATACATACATACGGCTAAGCCAAACACCCAACAAAATATCTTATCATCGGATTAGCAACTAATCTGTTGTGCACACTATTATTCATTTAATTAGGAAAGAAGAGTGTGAACAAAGGGTGTATGTTTCTGGAACTAAGGTTCTGTTTAGCATCTTGTTCTAGAGAAATGCATCAGCAGGTAGAGTAGGATGGTGTGTGCTTACCAACGTGTTCATACCTTAGTTATTCACTGAGGTTATTCAAATTTGGTACAGACATACACAATAATACTGTAAAAATAAAATTTATTTATTTATAATATATTTAAAATATAAAAGATAAAAACACTTTTAAATTAAGTAACAGCACAATTATGCTGCTGCTGCTGCTGCAGCACAGACTCAAACTATTTAATTATAACTATTGCTTCACCTGTTTTTCCCCGTTTCTGTATTTTAATATTTTTCACCAATGCTGTTTGCTACCCAATGTCGACCAGAGGAGGATGGGTTCCACTTTTGAGTCTTGGTTCTTCCCAAAGTTTCTTCCTCTTGCTCTTAGGGAGTTTTTCTTCCCACTGTCGCCATTGGCTTGCTCACGGGGGCTTGGACCCAGGTTTTTTCTGTAAAGCTGCTTTGAGACAACACCTGTTGTAAAAAGCACTATATAAATAAACTTTGATTTGACTGGACAATTGCAGATCACAGGTGAAAATGAGCCACAGTATCTATGTTTATGATAGCCTAAACAAATATGTTTTAATCTGGATTTAAAAACACCTAACAAGTTGCATTTCTGATATTCTCTGGAATGCTATTAACAGCTTTAAATGTTCATAGACAAAACCTTTTCATAAAATTAAAACTTAATAGGACGCTTGTATAAACTGAATAAGACCAGAGTAACTTTCTTTTCTTGGTAAGGACACAGGCTGCTGCATTCTGAATCAGTTGGAGCCTATTTAGAGAGATAGCAAGGCAACTAGCCAGTAACATGTTACAGTAGTCTAATCTATTAGTTATAAAATCATAACCTAATTTCTCAACATCTTGTAGGGTTAGTTTCTTATCTTGGATATATTTCTCAAGTAATGAAATGTAGTATTAGAGATATTACTAATATTTTCAGCTCCCTGTCACTAAAGGTCACAGAAACAGGTATGTTAAACCCAAGGCCTGCATTCTAACATTGAGCTGTGATGTCAGCATAAGTGAGTAATTCAGCTCAGAAAATCACCGAGACGCTGCTCTGACTAGCTAGAGTGAGAAATCCCAGCTCTAGTCAACCCACAGCCAGAAATATAGCACCAAACACAGCCAGATCCACTGTAAACCTGCTAATAGTTCTCTGCTTTAGCCTTCAAATGGCAACAAAAGTTTTAAAACAACACAATTCACTCATCATAGCAATCAGCAGGACTTACCCTGTATGTCCACAGTGACTTTATGGAGGTTCAGCAAAGATTCAGTCAATAATCCAGTTCAGAAAACCATCATTCAAATCCTGCATTTACGTCCATTTTAATGTCCCATTTAAATGGCTCACTGCACATGTAAAATCTAGAAAATTTCCTTGTTTCTCAAACAGGCCCTTCACTGTTTAGTGCTGATAATCAGATATTTACAGGTAAAGATAATGGCACAAAATGCAGTTACACACTAACCATGTGCTCTGTGCATGCTTCTAAACTGACAGTGGGGGTGGGAGGGGGGTATGTGACAAAAGGCAGTGTTCTAAACCACTACAGTGAGTTCACTAAAAACTTTCACTCAAAATAACACAAACAGGCCCTAAAATACATTTTATCAGATAAATAACTGTAAATATGGCAAATGTTATTATAAAATGAGTAATATTTAGGTCCGTCTTTCATTTTACATTAAATTAGAGTCACACAAGATATGACTTGTGTGACTATATCATGTAAATACTTAATAATTGCAATTGTAATAGTAATTGACCCAAATACCAACCAATTACCCCATATTACCCTAGGGTTCTAAAGGTAAGATCTAAACAGATTGGAACTAGGTGCAGATGACAGAGCACTGTTCAAATACAGACTGGACCACTGCAGGTTTATGTCACATCATGCTCCTTGATAAAGAACTTCATTACTGCATCTAATCCCCTGTCTTTCTTCATTGTCGCAGAAAAAGATTTAAAAAGGTAAAAAGTGGTAGGCTACTATAAGTAACCCCAATAAAACTCCAATGAAAATGCACCACTAGATCAGGGGCGTACACAAGCAGGCATGGGCTTGGGTGGGCTTGGTTTGATAGATTGATACCCAGTCAAATGGAAATGTTTTCTGTGAGTGCTGTCATTGTATTATGAACAGTCAGAATCATCACACCCTCCACCTTGTTCCAGAAATTGATCCATAAACATTTTTCATGCCTGCTGTAGCAGAATCCCTTAGCTTAGAACAGTTCAATTTAGGGTTTTGAGCTTGCTGTGTTGTTTTTCCTCATCGTTGTAAATCTCAGCTGCCTGAAAACTATTGCTGTGTTGGTTGTGTTTGTGATGTTGAATCCTGAACACTGGTTGATGTGTACACAGTCTTACTATTGTTTTGTATCACTCTTGGGTGGTTGGATTAGGTTGTATGGTGACTGCACTGCTGTCAGGAATAACCTGGTGTTATGACACTATGGGACAGCGTGTTACAGAATGTATTACCTTATGTGTTACCTTATGTATTTCTGCCTGCACCACTGCATTCATGGTTCGTACAGTCATGAAAAACCAGGAAAAGTCATGGAATTTGCAATTGCAAATTCCAGGCCTCAATAAGTTTTAGAAAAATAAATAAACCCAGAAAGTTTTGGAAAAGTCATTGCTTCACAAATAACTGTATATGTGGTTAAGTTAATTGACTGAGAAATTGTATATTGGTTAAGCAATACTTTAATGTTCTGGCAGATCAGTCACGTCACTTGACATTGTTGTTCTCTGTGTGGGGTAATGTCAGACTACGACCTGAGTTACAGCTTGTACTTTGATGAAGTGTAAATTCGCACAATGCCAGAAAATGCTGATTTAATAATGTTTGGCTTAATTTGGACAAATGTAAGGCATGGCTTGAGAAAGACCAGGACGTGGGATATGTACTGTGTAGTAAAACGTTTGACATTTCGAACATGGGAGAGGCAGTGCTAGCTAGCTCTGCTAAAGAAGCTAAGCTTCAGGCTGCTGCTTCTGTACGCGAATCAACTTTTAACACCATCACCGGCTTTTTCGCCCTCTGCCCCCTGCAGTGCTTCCCTCTCATCCACCATCAAACAAGGGAACATTTCGAGTGTGTCTGTGGCCAGAAACGAAGCCCTAACTGATGAGGTACTGTGAGCGTTAGAGGTGGCTAATTCTCACTGTTCCTGCAAGTCATGTGAAGACACAAGTCAGCATTTTCAGATCATGTTCCCTGACAGCCAGGTAACTGCCAGATTAGCATACAGTAAACGGAAGTGCTCATATATTTGTACCTTTGGACTGGCTCTTTCTTATTTTAAAAAACCAACCTTGTCCAAAGTATTGAACCAAAGATTGTATGTTATGTTTTTTGATTTAAGCACTGATTGAAACACTGTTTACAGGCTAAACAGTTAGACATGCATGTCATGCATGTGGGACGGGCCTGAGGTGATTAAGACATCGGCTCAGAGTTTATGGTCAAGATATCGCTGAGATAATGAAGGGCTTTCCTTTAGATGGATGGGCCATGCGTGAATTAACAAGTGTTCGAAATACTTCAGAAGCAAGTGCTGAATGGCGGGGAAAGACGCAGATCAACATCAGTTCATGCAGGTTGCATATACTGGACAAAGCATTTAGGGATGGATGTGAACACGGACTCTCTAGCCTGTACTGGCTGTTAAAGAATTTACAACAGCAACTGGCTATAGCACTCCCATGCTTAAGTTTTGCAAGGACCCTTAAATTGATAATGTTAATGTGTCAGAAAGTGGACTGCTGCTCTGGCCACATGTCAAACACTACGTCAACATGGTAGGGAGAGGTGAACTACCCAGTCCAAAAGTGAAGTCGTTTCTGGAGGTGAACATTTGATGTGCTGTTCCTCACTTCACAGTGAAAGTGGGAATATTTAACAGCATTGCAAGATAAATCAACCCCTTCCTCACCATGTATTAAGCAGACCAATCCATGCTGCCGTTCCTCTCTGAGGACATGCACAAACTGATTAAAGGTAAGGATAAACATATTGATGGTGAAATTGCTAATGTTTTATGTTATACATTGCATAGTCAGCTATGAATGTGTAATATTCACTCATTTGATGTGTTTAACTCAAAAGAGAGATGCACTTCACCTGTTTGTAAGTTTGCTCATTGAGATAGATCAAACTGAAACATAAAATCCGCCCATTTTAATTGTTTGCAGGGCTCAATTGCAGAACAATTTCTGAATTTCCTGCAAGAGGCCACATCCACATTGAAGCTCCTCCTTTTTAGGACAGTAGTCTGCACAAAGACAAAGATTTTTAGATTGATATTGGATTTGCAGCAGAAGCCACATTAAACCAACTCAGTTCTTCAAATAAAGTTTTTACTCTTGATCACACTCCTTGAGAAGT